CACCACTACAGATAAACTACGTGCCAGTTACCAGGTTAGATCCCTCCGTAGGCCAAATATCAGAAGGCAGTTGGAGGTTGTAGCTAAGATGCATTTGTTGGCGATCTCGTGGTATCAAAATAATACTGAGATCATGCCAAAAAGTACAAGCGAGACTACTGAGCGTGCAAGGGTCACAAACAACGGAAGAGTGTTTTTCGGTACACTTAAACAAACAGGTCCAGTAAAACAATCATTGGTACAGTTGGTTGTAATAATAACTGCTTCCATTACAAAAATCGCGTTCTCTTCATAAAATTTGGTCACTGCAGTTTAGTGGGATATAGTTAACCATTGGTATTGATACTGAATTCTTATACTAAATACCTCTTTGACTTATGTTTGTAACCTTGAATTGGTTACACTTTCCACAGAGAACCTCTGTTGCAAGAAATGCTGTAGGCTTACGGTAAACAGGAGTCCATTCATGACTATATAAACGTTATGACAATAAAAGCGAGTCATAATAATTTCTATAAAAATAAGTCATTTGTGTACCCAAACAGTACTTTCCTTACTACATATTAGAAATATCCATCTCAGACTTACAGTCCTTTTAAATCACCTTAACTTATACAGTCCTTTGCTCATTCGTCACCACACATTTGGTTCGCTTCCCCTAACTTGTCAAAATACACTTGCTTAAAAGCTGACTTGATAAAAAGGGATGAGGCTAAGCCGTAATACCTCAAACGCTCCATCTCAAGTAACTAAACTTGATCAGTAATGAACATTGTCTGCTTTGCTTCTCGTTCATCTATTTTCGTCTCTTCAGGACATTCGTGATACACCACAGTAAACATGTATGAACAGTTAAAATTTTAAACTCACCAGATACACATCTGTTGCATTACTTCTTGTGTTAAACACCTCTGAGCTCTTTTGTATTCATTCATAGCCACCGGCTGCTGTTCGCAACGTAACCTCCATGAAGCTCACCAACTTTTGCATTGATTATTATTATTATTATTATTATTATTATTATTATTATTATTATTATTATTATTATTATTATTATTATTATTATTAGAAGCTTCATTCAGCATTATATTTTTGATACAACATGGAATTCTCAGCATAAAGTATTTCATCAAGTTTCCTTTTCTTATACCCAAGCAACACAAAAAGGGGAAATAAAGGAGAATAAAGGGGAAATAAAGGGGTAAATGCTATGGTAGCGAAAGGGGAAATATAGGGGAAAACGCGCCAGAATGTCGCCTTTTTCGCCTGTCCGGGGGAAATAATGCGGATTTTCCCCTTTTTGTCGACAAATTACGGACTTATCGCCTAAATATCCGCTGAATTGTCGCATTTTCGCCTAAATATCCGCTGAATTGTCGCATTTTCGCCTAAATATCCGCTGAATTGTCGCATTTTCGCCTAAATATCCGCTGAATTATCGCATTTTCGCCTAAATATCCGCTGAATCGTCGCATTTTCGCCTAAATATCCGCCGAATTGCCCACTTATGCGCTTAATTGTCTACTTTTCGCCGTAAATATTTCAAAAATTTTATTGAAAAATAAAAGCGTATTATTGTACAACAGTAGAGCACAAGCTGAAGCATCGATTGTTATGCATATCCAATGCAATTGCTAATACATTGTTATTTGAAATTATCTGAAAAAGAACGAACAGGTTATAATGTATTCATAAGAAATGTGCATTTAATCAATAGTTCACTGAAACTCAAACACACATTCTCAACACTTCAACAGTTTCCCATGTAGGTAAAAGAGTAAGCTGTTTGAAAGAATAATGTTTATTGAAATGGAGGTACAACATCAAAGCAATTGCACGGACTAATCACAATTGGCGTAGTCGTCCTGTGAATTCTGAATTAAAAAAAAAACAAAAAAAAGTCACAACCATATCTCAATGACATGCTTTTGCACAACCAAATACTTGAAGCTGAACTTACGGTTATGTTCGTCAGTATTGTTGACTGTAACTATAGAGCCGTAGGGAGGTTATCACTTTAAATTAGTACCTACCTGATTTTCTTTTCTTCTATTTCGTTTTATCATCTTGTCTCGGAGGTCGTGAAAGTAACCTTGTGTCGCTATGTCGTATAGCTTACCAAGGTCTTTCTCATTTACAGAGGATGACAAAAAACGATGAGTTAAGGCACCTGAAGTTTAAGTAATAGATATAGGTTACTTCGTATGCAGCTGTAAAACGTGCATTTATGTAGTGCTCGTTTAGAAGAGGTGCCAAGTAACGTGAATTTACTGGCAACCTCCGGTGTCAGCAGATGCGACAGAATAAAACACATGGACGTTTTTGGATCGTCACCTGATAACCTAGTGACCATTGCCATCTGTAATAGTAACAAATTATTAAATTCATGTCAATGACTTACAAATCTGTCCCTGGTTTCTTTCTGCGACAAACCAGTATCTAGCATCTGTAGTTCCTCTTCAGATGACAAAGGGAACTCCTGACTTGACAGTCCGCAATCGAATTGATGCGGCCTTTCGCGCTCATTAGACTTTGAAAGCAATTGGTTAACATTAACATTCAAGTTCGTAATGGCGGACGACATGTTGTTAATCGTTTTAGTCAAGTCATTGACAGCTGACGAAATCTTCAGCACCACAGTATACAACCTATCACAGGTGAAAAAGGTCACTAGATGATGCAGTTCACTTACTGGTCCAATACAGCGCCACCAACATGCTTACATTCCGATGTGGATGGTGATGTCTCTAATTGTGTTGAACTAAATAGTGAATATCTAAATAGTAAATAAACGTACTTGGCGATTGGAGATATCACTTTGTCGAAAACACGAAATTTGGGATATTGTACGCGGATATTCCCAGCCTGCATCTCAGCCACATCCATGTCTACTGAATTGTAAAGAAAATCTTCTTGACGTCTCATTACACCTCTAGGAAATGTTAGTAAGATTATTGTACAGACCTCATGGGCTTCTCAGTGTTATGTGGCAGAGTGTTTTCATCCGTTGAAGTGTTTTCAAGGTGAGATTGCAGTATTTGCAGGGAAGCTAACAGATCTTTTGCAGACTGCAGAGATTCTATAGTGAATTATAGTTTCCATGATTGTAGCTTACCTAATTCATGAATAACTTTACACTTCATAAGCGACCAATTGTCATTAGGTTGGTCGCACTTCTGAAGGTGTATATCGACCATCTCATTCGGAAAAGCGCAAAGGTCATTGCCAACTATCCAGTCATTTGATGCTATCATAAGTTGTTTTTTTAGGACGTCAACAATAACGTATTTCTTGTTAGTGGGCTGAAAAGAACATAAGACGTAAGTAAATGGTTTATCATCATTAATTAAACACTAATGAAACGAAATGCATTTACAATAAAGTATGCAACAATGGGATTACAACTATGTAATTGGTACAATTGATGGCTATACATTTACAATCAATGTTCTTAACTGAAACCCATGTGTATTCATGGCTAACTACGGAGCAGATGAAGATTCCAATATCACTAGATGGGAAAGGATCTTCAAAGTAATTGCGTGGGTCAATGAAAGTCACATATAACAGCCGCCAACCTAATAGCTATACATTTATTAAACTTTACACTAAAAAGACCCACGTCAGTCATTTCTTTTATTTCAGAAATTGTGTCCGCAGAAAACTCGTTGAATTCTGCCGGCTTACTATTCCCTCCGTAGATCCCTATCATGAACACGTCACTAAACCTAGGGGCAACGATCCGTCCTAGTATAGGCCATAACTGTTGATTGGAGCTTCTAGACATAGAAAGTCCATCCACACTGATATATAAATTTAAAAAGTCAAAATCACTAGTACACAACCAAAGTTCAACGTATCTTAGCAGATTGGTTTTCAAGGCGAGACTCTAATTTAGCGACGAGCCAATCAGAAGCGTTTGAGCGATTTCAAGGTCACGGAGCCAAGTTCAACACGCAATGCTGACATACAGTCGGTTCACAGCGGATTTTAGAGAGGAGGTGATTAATGAGAGGCTAAAACAGACGGGATGGCGAAACTCTAATTTAGGGACGAGCCAATGAGAAGCGTTTGAGCAATTTCAATTATTAGCCAATCAGAAGACAGTATAAAGTGAAAATATATATTACAAGAAAGTAATGAATTACAGTGGATATTCTTCTTTTACATGATTTAAAAACTTGTTGAGGTTTGATAAAGGCTCAGAAGTTCTGAATTCACAATGCATATTGTATAGAAACTCGTCCATAGGGTTAGGGTTTGGGGTTAAAATTAGGGTTAGATTAGGGTTTAGGGCTAAGGTTAGGGTTTGGGGTTAGATTAGGGTTTAGGGTTAGGTTAAGGTTAGGGTTTAGGGCTAAGGTTAGGGTTATGGTTTGGTTAGGGTTAGGGTTATGGTTAGGGTTTTATTAGGGTTAAGGTTAGGGTTTAGGGTTAGATTAAGGTTTAGGGTTAGGTTAAGGTTAGGGTTAGATTAGAGTTTAAGGTTAGGTTAAGGTTTGAGTTAGATTAGGGTTTAGGGTTAGGTTAGGATGAGGGTGCTAACATGCGATCGGTTTACATCGGATTTTAGAGAAGAGGTGTCTATTGACAGGCTACAACCCTAACCACTAACCGTATGGACGAGTTTCTATACAATATGCATTATGAATTCAGAGCCTCTGAACCTTTGTCAAACCTTAACAAGTTTTTAAATCATGTAAAAGAAGAATATCCACTGTAATTCATTACTTACTTACAATATATTCACACTTTATACTAACTGTCTTCTGATTGGCTAATAATTGTCAAGGTCATTTAAGATTCGTTCAAAGGTCGTCGCTAAATTAGAGTCTCGCCGTTTTCAATCCTAGATGGTAGTAAACCCCACTGCCGATAAACTTTGGTTGAACACTTGGACACGTCTTTAGGACATCTCTGATGCTTTTCCGTATGTCAGGGATAAAAAATCTTAGACCATACAGAACCCGAACAGCATCCCTTATGCTCAGAGATGTATTTCACATTAGATACATCATCAAGTCGTTCATCATTTCTTTGCGATTCACGAACTTTGGAGAGCACGGGTTCACTTCAGGAGATCCTATAAGATATATATTCACGTATGAATTTAGTATACATACCACTATTATCTGAAAGTCTTTGATTGATGTTGCTAGTCGATGGTGTAATAGTTGAAGTACTGTCATTACAAGTGATTTCTCTCTTTACTTCTATCAATTTGATAAACAACATTGTTGAACGCAGTTACCTTTATTTCCCCTCTCGTTCGCTTTATTTCCCCCTTTTTCCCCTTTATTTCCCCTTTTTGTGTTGCTTGGGTACCTTGATCGATTGTGACGATAAATTTTGAATGATGACCAGTTAGATGTTAGGAGTTCGGTAATCCACATTTGATTATTGTTCATTCGTTTCAATGCATATTGCCAGCCACCATGATGTCGCTGATTGTACCTTTATGTATCCGGCATAGTAAAAGGTTGTAAACTTTTCATAAACGCGCCTGAATAGGTTGTGAGCACAATAGACATAATTATGTGCTAAAACAAACAACAAAACAGATATTCAAGCAGGCCTCCTGACATACACTAAAATACAAAAATTTAAACCCTCTGTTTCTCCAATGAATGTGCCTTATTCCATGTCATCATGGAGAGCCAGTGAAATGTCTCTAAGCCCTAGCTAATTCATCCGGCAGTCAGGTCACTTAATGTCGAACAGTTCATCAATCCTCGTCAAGGTCAAGGACAAGATTTTTCAGATTCAGATCTGTGTAATACGAACAAAAGGCCTACGGTCTATGTTACTCTTTTTCTAGCATTTTTTTGTGACTAGCTAATTGTCTCTTGAATGAGTCAAGTGAAGGTGCATTAGATTATTTCATGCTATGTTTATGATGCTTAATAATATTTCCTTGTTATCCGCACCTAGAGATGTCATATATTCTATCACTCTCGTCAGGTTCCAGGCGAAATCATGTATATTTATGACTGGTAAAATAAAAATCATATGCACAAGCAATCTCACTCAGTCTTAACTAGATACTTCGTCGTACGTAATATATGACTTGACAGTTGATGATCAAATTCCTAGATCAGCATTTTAAGGAACGATCATGTCATCAGCAGCTTCGAAAATTTAGTTGGATTGGTGGTAACCATTTTTAATTATGTTTACCACACTTTTTGAAATTGCATCATTCAATAACCTTAAATATGACTCAAATTCTTAATTAAATGAAGGTTACTTAATTAAGTAATACACAAATTTACACTAAATACAGGTATGAAAAAATTTGACGACCACTGAAATTCTTTACAAACCCCACAAAATCATCCGTATATGTTTGTATTTACGCGTCGCACTGTTACACTAATAGTACACGAACAAACGTTCAGAGCAACTGTGAGTTTGTGTAAGAACAATTTCATTCCGATGTGACGTAATGACATATTCGAACTATTGTAATTATTCGACTTCGAAGTCGTACGTCCCGTATTTCATGGATTATCGTTTCCTCGTGGCTGCTATCTAACAGGTGATTTCGGTACAACAATCGGCTGTTCAAATACTCAACGAATTAAAGCCTTTCCAGTTCAATTAGTTGTTTGCTGACACCATTATTCGCACGAATCGTCAACTTAATCAATCAAGCAAATCTCCTGTAAACTGACAATTGCTTTGTTACCATTGTCTCAACATTGACATCGTTTTGCTCTAGTATCGTCTGCATGAATTTGTAATATTTTCGTAGAATTTTGATGTTTTTGTCGGTATTTTTTTCTGAACTCACATAAATCTCTAACCGATTTTCGTACTGTAGAGAAAACTTCTTCGTGCCACTTTTCCTCTCCGTCTATAATCTACAACCCCTACTGACTATGACAGCGATCTCCAATTATCCAAACTCTGACTACAATGTCATCAACAACGTCGTACATTAAAAGTCATGACTTCTTTTAACGGTTATACGTATTCACTTCCAGTTTGTCAGATAAGTATGGAGAGAGATGGAACTCCACACTTATAAACAATAAACTGTGAATGACACAGACTGACTTTCTACCTTAAGTCAACAATGTGTAGTGAAGGACAACACAAGTGGGGACAATCGAATGTGATTGAACACAAAATTACAGAACATCTTAGTAAAATGTGAGGGCCATACAGTGAATACTCAATTTGCAAAATGTCAGTCGATTGTCACAAACTCGACTGTTCCTCTTGCAAATATCGGTGAATCGTCTCACATTCCATTGTTCCTGCATTTCCATACCAATTGCTTTCTGTCCCCGTTCGTTCCTCCTAGATAATCTCGACCTTCTGCTGCCAGACATTCTATTCCTGAAAAGCGTACTATACTACTTACGTCGACCGAATTGGCACACACACACCACACCAACTAGCACCTGAGCTGCGGGTCTGTATCGGCGTCCGTAGAACAGCACACTTTCTCTCTCCTGGTAGACAGAGACACCAAATGTATTGAACGAGATCAGAAGTAGGGACAATTGACTAACGTAATATACTACTTATGTTGACAAATAGCACACACCCCACTCATCCTCATTTTTAATAAGCTATTTTTGTAGTCTTTCCGATCAGTGTACCTCCGTCTTTTTTGGTGCTCTTCGCGACTCGCACTAATATTTTTCAATTAACTGGCATCTACGCGCTTCTGCATGTCTTTTCTCTGGATCGTATATACCAAGCCAATCCTCGCCGTGATAATGTACTGTCCTTCCCACTTCGGGATCTGCTTTCTTGACTCTGGTATCCATGACATGTAAACTTACCGTCCTCTACGCTCTACAAGGACCCTCACTGCGAAAAGCTTCCATATTCATCTTTGACGTTCCGCCTATTTTGTGTCTGATTATTTTCTTCTCCTCCCCCCTTGTTGCCTTCCTCATGTCTTTTTTTAGCCGTGTTGCCATCCACTTCTGTTGTTGTGGTAAGTTAGCTTTATACATTGGAAGTCATGGTTGTCTAGTATATATATGAGCAGGTAAGGTGACATCTTGTTTGTTTCTTATATGGAGGCAAGATGTGCCAGCAAAATCAATTGTAACTCTTTCTCACAATTTCCTCCTTTAGACGTCAGCCATTCCTTTAACGTCCGGTTGTTTCTTTCTATGAGCCCGTTCGTCTGGGGGTGACACGGTGTACTTTGTATCCTCTTGATGCCAAACTGCTTTAGACAGGCTCTAAACTCGTCACTTTCAAAACAGGGACCCTAGTCAGCTAATATCGTCTGTATTCCGTGACACGCTACAGTATGCTGGATTACTACTTCGGTCACTGTTTTTACCCCATGGTCTGCAATGATTACAGCGTCTACCCAACGTGCAGCATGTTCCGTCATCACTAGCAGGTACTGGTTACCGCTCGCCGTCTGTGGAAGCGATCACATCACATCCACCGACCAAAGATAACCGACTACGGTTACCGGTACTGACTGTAATGGCAGTTGTGTGTATCGATTTATTTTTATTAGTCGACACTGCTGTCAAGTTAACACGTATTGGACCACATCGTCTCTCATGCCTGGCCAGTATGCACTTTGTCATAGTAAGTCAGTCGTTCTTCAGATATCTGTGTGCGCTGTCTGGTGACATTTTGTTTAATTACGGCTCCTTATGGTTTAGTGGGATGTCACGAACTTAAGGTATCAATGCTGATTCATCATGCAAAATACCACATTAAATCGTGTTACGAACGTTGAATTGGTTTCACTTCCTACCCAGAAATCCTATTACAAGCAAACTAGACAATTCGCTAATATACGAAGCCTACTCAAGACCCTATAATACCTGAAAAAAAATACAAATAAAAAAAGACGAAAGGGGCTCTAATAGCTTCGATAATAAAAGGAAGATAGCCAGTTGTATATCACAATGCTGTTTCTAGCACTATATTTTATTTTATAATCACACATAATCTTATACTCTCAGCTCTTTTCCGAATCGCCTCCATTTGTCAGTTGTATGTCTACTCACACCTTGCTAACATTTATTTTCTTTAACCTATTAAAATGCTCTTTCTTAACAAATACCTTAATAAAAGAAAATTAGACTGAGTAATTATACCTTAAACATTCCGCATGAATATTGGCTACTTTGCCTCTCGTGTTTTCTTTTACTTGCTCCCTCTTTCAGCCCCCTTGAGATATGGAACGGGTTACTTCATCCTGCACCATCCTTAAAGCCTTGGATATCCTAAAGGGACATAAGGTTGCGATTTCTAGAAGCTCCTACCTTCGATAGACCTATCCTTGAGCATCAGTCGCACATTCGCAACGCAACTCTCGTGAAGCGCGCCAACTGTAGTACTGATTAAAACCATCTACATTCATATTTTATAAATTATCAACCCAGCTATGTAATTTAATACAGTGTATATTGTATCATTTGTATCAATTTGATCTTGCCTGTAAACTGGCATGCCTCATGTAACAAAATGTTATTTGAGAATAAATTATTATTATTATTATTATTATTATTATTACGCTGTAGAACGCCTCACTTCCCTGGAATTGCCTCAACTTTCTCGAATTAGGTATTGAAATGGTCTTTATGGTTGAAATTTTCTCCTCCAGTCGTTTTATTTTTTCATTTTCCACTTTATGCCCCAATAACGTGATGCTATTTTTCACTATCTGGGATTGTCTCTAATAATTCGAAGTCGAAATTATTTAATTTGCCTTAAGACTGCTTCCACATGCTTAGCGCGATCTGTTTCTGTATGGTTGTACATACTACATCTTCACCATACATCTCTACTTTATCTAGATCCCTGATCAACCGCGTAATTAGTCTTCTGAAACCAAACGTTGTACCCGCCAACCCAAAAGGCATTCGTCTGAATTGATACTGTTGTTTTGGTCGCTCTCCTATAGGCAGTTACCAAAAAACTGACCGCAAATCCAGCACTGTAAACACCACGGCATTCTGTAGCCGATATATTGTTTCCGTTAATGTTGGCATTACAAAAGGCTTCAGTTCTGTTACATTATTCAGTTCCCAAAACTCGACACAAAATCTATACCTTCCATTCGGTTTCTTCACAAAGAGTGCCGGTGAGCTGTAAGAGCTCTACACTTCCTCAATTCTGCCTTTTTACAACATTTGGACCTGTTGATATACCTGAGCTTCTAAGTGCACAAGGACGCAACTTGTTGCAAATATATTTAATCAACTGTTTTTATGGGGATTTCGTGCTTGACATTGTTCACTAGAGATGGAGAGCCGTAAGGATTTTATGACAAAGTAAATCACGAAATCCTAATAAAGAAAAATCGATTAAGTATATTGGCAGCACGTTGCGTCCCTATGCACTTAGTGGCTCAGGTAAATCAACAGGTCCAAATGTTGAAGGAAGGTATAATTGAGGAAGCGGACAACTCGTA